TTGGCTTACCTAAATGAGCTAGCAGTGGCTGTGGGTCTCAATGAACCATTTCCTACTGCAGAGCCATTGCCACAGGATAATGGAGAGAGGTTCTTTTCAGAGTTCATTGTTTCATTCAAACTACAAAGGCAGAAGTATGCTCCAAATGATTGTTGTCTTTGTGTGCAATGTACTCGAGCAGCGCCCACTCCAACTCCACCGGCAATGGGTCCACCGACTCCACCAGCAATCGGTCCACCGACTCCACCAGAACCACCAGCAATGGGTCCACCACCTCGAACAGAACCACCAGCAATCGGTCCACCACAGCCACCTCCACCACCAACCCAAGCAGCTGTGGCACAAACAAGAAATGCTTACGTTGGTAATTTGATTCTATACCAGCAACAACAACAAATTCAAATGATGCAACTCGCCATGCAAATGCGGCAATTCCAATCAATACTGCCATCTCCTTTCCAGCCACCACCACCAAATGGCTGCTGTCAAAGATACTGCCAGTGGTTGACTAACAGGAGAGGAAGACCACCCCATGATGCCTATTGCCAATCTCGATTGACTGGATACCTGGCATAACAGCAATAAATATTTAGATGCGTCAAATTCATTTCTAATGTAGCCATTAACTTACAGCAAAGTTCCACAATGGACAGAATGGTGTGGTTGCAAGAATCCAAGGTTGTTAAAGTCCTCAATGCAATCATCAACAAAAGTCTCACTCATCAAAGTCAATGTCTTGAAGGAGATTTGATTGTTGTAGTCATACCAGTGCGAACAATACCCATACCAAGCATCCATCACAATCTGTTCCTCACTGGAGTAGAAGTCATAGCTGCTATCCATAATCATTTCCCTCACTAACCAATAGATGCACTCAATGAAGATGTCCTTCCTTTCACAGCCATATGGCCCCTCCAACATTGCATAAAGGGTAGCAAGAACAGTACTGTGCCATTTTGGGCTCTTCTGAAGTCCACATTCAAACATGTAATCCATAATGCCTGTCATGTCAGGAGGAAGAGGCTTGCATCCTCCTTGGCATATCAACTCCTCAAGGTTCGCCACTGCTATTTCATTCGCGCCCAAACAATGAAACTTCTGGTAGTTGGTGAGATGGGGCTCTGGTTCTTCCACAATGATGTACTTGCAAGTGAACCCATTCCTGGTGGCCCTCAGCTCATTGAATGGGTATCTGTTAACACTTATCAGCCACTTGGAGAAGCTCCGACTAGTTGCGATCCTCATGGTGGACACCTTTTTCTATTCAAATAGTCGTTCGTTGATAGAGCGACAGAGCGATGCCGTGTTGTTGTTGTTGATCGTTGATTTGTGGCGATTTCTGTTGATTTGAATTGGGAAGGTCTGGTGCAAGCGAAGGAAAGGAGAGCCAGCGAGTAGCCGTTGAAGGTTCCATGATTTGAATTCCTGTGACGTACATTCTGACATAAATAATGTTCTTCGGACATGTCTTACCAATTGCCGGATATAAGGGATGAAGGGGAAATGACCAGGTCATTGCCGTTTCCCCTCTCTTTGGTCTACTCACGTCACTGGAACAAGACATGCATGCTCTCCGACTGGGAATCAGGAATCCCAAACATTAACCCTCTCCCTTTCTTTTTTCTTTTCCCTCCCCCGCGCTGGTGCCTAACCCCCCCTAAATCTCCCGCTTACCGACACAGTCTGAGTAGGCTCTTCTATTTTGGCGCTGTGCCGTACAGATGAAAGTGTGCTGGTGGCGCAAATACGATCCAGGTGGATCCTGCCTGGACACACTCTATGTTCGGCTCATCCAGCCTTATGTTACCTCCACTGTTACAGATTCTTTTTAAAAATACATCATAAGAGTAGCTCTCATAAAATAAGAAGTTTCATGAGTTCTGCTGCTATGCTGCTTTACTAGCTAGCTAGCTGGACGCATGTATCTAAACCCCCGTGATTATCATAGTATGTTGTCAGCTATGTTGCCATGTTGCATGGTCCATTGGTGGCACTGGTACCGGTACCGGTACCGGTACGAACAGATCGAAAACGAAATCCTTCGACAGAGGTCTGTTTTGGCTAACTTCCCGCCTGAAGCTCTTTTTAGCCGTTTGTTCAAAAGACTGAAAAAAGACTTATGAGAGCAAAATTCAAGCAATCGCAATTGTTTCATTTACACAATTCTCCAACACGCCACAAACAGACCGCCATCATTGTATCGATCCATCACCATGACAATGCACTCCTTTGGGCATACAAGCGGCCCGCCGTCTAGTAGAGACGACGAAATGACAGACCTGCAGTCGCTTCTTGATAGGATCCAGCTTGAAGGAAACAGAAACGACCAATCAGCTGTGGATGAAGTTGCTGAGAATCTTCGCGTACGTTTGAACATACGCGTTGAGGATGAGCACATCTTCCATGCCCTTGCAGCCCAGTTGTTGAATGTAGATATTGGAAAAGACAATGATCCTGCTGTACAATCGAGGATGAGCTCGGATATGCGGAAGGAATCACAACGTCCTGACTTGACGGCGGCGGAACTTCAAACAACTTGGTCAACGGAAACGACTTCCACGGCAACCTCCTCCTCCTCGTCAGAGAGGAGGGACTCCCCCACGGTTGCCATGGAAGCACCATCTAGTGATTCTGGCAATTCGAAAGAAAGCATAGACCGTGGAAGATCCCCGAGAGAAGGCTCCAGCTTCACAGCACAGCAATCAAACGGCGCTAGAGTTCACCAGCGTGCTTCATCGCCCGCATTTCATGGAATTTTCAGCGGTGGAGAGAAGGAAGCGTCTTCCCAAAGCCCCGCAAACACTCAAACTCAGTCTCGCAGCAATAGCGGTACCAATAGGGGAAGAAGTGGGTCCAATCTCAAACCACCGATGAGCCCATATCCTTCTCCACACAATGATTCCTTTGGTTCATCGTTGCCGGCAACTCCTTTTACTCAGGTTAGTTCAGCCGATCTCGCCGTCTCTATAAATCGACGTGAAAATGCTCTGCAATCAATCTAAACCTTTCCTTGTAATTACTCTACTCTACAGGCTCACCCAGGACAACACCAGTCGCCAGCTGCAGGCTCTTCTCGCTCCTTCACGGAATCAATGCCCGGTCAAACCAATGAACCAGTGGAGAGAGAGCCCGAAGCTAGTCGGCCAAAGGAGGCGCGGGGACGATCCAGGAGCCCGTATCGATTTTGCACCAGATCGAAAGACACGCCTCCCAAAACTCGTAGTCAAAGTGTCCCCAGGAGTGTGTCGCCATTTCGTCGTGGGTTTTCGCCGAGCCGTTTCTTTGGCTCCAGCAAAAAGGAAGAAATGAAAGTTGACACTTCCATTGACCTTGCTGCAGGGGCCGGACAGTCCGTGAATGAGACGCAGTCAAAAGAAGTAGAAATCCCCAAATCTTCTCCGCTGAAGACTCCTTTGTCGCAGATGACATCGTTGGGTTCCGACTTTATGACTGGGAAAGGGAAGCAGAGGCGCAAACTTGATGAACCCACAGCGACTGCAGCTGTTTCAACGGCGGCTTCTGCAGAAGTGGCTGAAGGCGTTGCTGCGGAAGCGACTTCCGCGAGTTTTGGGCCTCCTCCAGTGGCTGGATTCAGCCTCGGGACCAAGCCATCAAGAGAGCGCAATGGCGGCCGCAAAAAGCCTTCTTCGCGCAAAGTAGTCACGCCGGTGCCGAACAACGCTAGCATACCGACTGAGCCTGTGCCGAGTCCGATGGACACAGACAAACAATTTGATGGCGATGCCACTGAGCAACAGCAAACGGCTGAGTTCGGCATCAACAACATTACGAAGGAGGGCAGCAGTGGTTTTAGTGTGGGCATTGTGGATCCCGCGCAGAAGTCAAATCGGAAGGGCAAAGGAAAGGTCGTCCGCGGTCAATCCAAACGCAAAAGCGACAAACCCCAAAATGGTCCAGCAGACACGGCTCCTCAAACAACACGAGACCAATCAACCATCGCGATGGAAGTCGGACATATCAAAACACTCCGCGACAACGCCCGCACATCATTTGAGAAGAGCGATTATCGGGCATCGATATCATGGAATACAAAAGCAATCACTGCGTATTCAACACTCGCACCAGGGCGCTTGCCGCGTGATTGCCTTGCAGTGTTGTTGGCAGATCGAGCGGAGGCGTATCTAATGATCAAGGCAGTGGACGCGTCAGTGTTCGACTGCAAAACCGCTTTGGCACATGTTACCCCTGCTCAGTCTGCTTCGCCGTTGATGTCGACAGACAGTGGCCCTGTGCTCCAAGCTCGACTGCACATACTCTTTGCAAAAGGGCTGCTGCTTGCGGGAAACGCACATGGAGCTGACCAACAATATGATCTTGGAATCGCCATGTCGGAGCATGCGTTGTCCGTCTCCTCACGGTACCAGTGTCTTGAAGATGTTGGCAAGGTCAAAGCTACGCTGGCAAGAATCCAAGCCGATGGCGCCTTGGGCAAATCAGATGTTTCCCAGTTCAAGCAGTTGTCAGAGAAGCTTGCTTCTTACAATCTTCCTTCTCTACAGGCAAGCAGACCTTGCTTCGAGGAACGCAGGCAATTCGTCGATGCCCTTGGTACAATCACTACGGCGCTACTGCTAGCTCCATGCAATCTCGAGTTGCACGAGAGAAAGGTGGCTTTGCTGGCAAGCCTGCGGAGATGGCGAGAAGTAGCAAGCCATTGCGAACGTTTGGCTGTGGTTGCCCTGTCGTTGGAAGATATATCTGAGAGAGACATCCGGTTTAGAAACTCATTGAAGAATTTGCCGGGCGTGAAAGAGTTGTCCGCTTTTTTCTTTGGAGATCCCAATCAACAGGACTTCAAGATCAAGGACTATGAGTCAGCAGAAAAGAAGTTGAATGCAAGGGCCACGGGAGAAGCAGTGCTGCGGCTACCTCGAACACTGATTCGCAACTACCTCCGCAGCTTGCGATTGGAGGAGCGCTACCCTGCCGAACAGAAAGCCATCAAGTCCCTTGAAGTCTACATTGGCTCAACAGCAGGAAGTCCTCAATATCGTCGCCTCTTGAACGAATTCTCATGGTTGACGACAGAGTCCCAAAAGTTGGCCAGAACCAAGGAATGTCGAGATCGCGGAGACGAGCTCTTCAACAATCAAGACCATACCCTGGCCGCCGCGCAGTACGCCCGATGCTTGAAAATCGACGCAGAAGGAGAACGCGATGGCGGTGACAGTGGTGGAGGTCGACTGCACGCCGTTCTTCATTGCAATCGCGCAGCTTGTTTCATGGCGCTCAACAATTTTGAAGAAGCGGTTCAAGAATGCACTGCAGCTCTTCGCGTTCACAATCGATACATGAAAGCAATTCTGAGGCGAGCCAGATGCCATGCACGGCTGAATCGATTGGAAGAAGCAGTAGCCGATTGTGAGAGGTACTTGGAGCTTGTAAACGAGGCAAAAAGTTCGCCCAATTCGTGTGCTGCGTTTATTAGTCCGTGCTTGTTCGACGGGCCTCGTCGAGTCAGCCAGGATGACATCAACCAGGTACAACATGAACTTGCGGAGAACAAAAAGAAGCTACAACGAAAAGAAAATGCAGCCAGAGAAGAAGCCAGCTATCGTGGCGAACGTCAACGATTCCACGACGCCTACGCCGATGCACATCGAAGGAGAGAAAATTGGTACAACCAACAGGGGCCCAGTGGAAGTCGTCGTTGGGATTCTTTCAATCGAGAAAACGGAACGAAGCGTAGTCCCCGACAAAAGAATCCAAGACAACCACAATCCAACGCCGGCTCCACCAGAGGAGCATCACATGTGGGTGGATTGAACGCCATTTCCACCGAAGGCACGCATTATTCGACTTTGCAAATTCCTTTTGGAGCAACTCAAGCGGACATCAAGAAAGCATACCGCCAGGTAAGTGGGCTTGAACGCACCGCAATGTCATTGTGCTCTGTTTTGCTGATCCTCTCATGCGCTTATGTTTTCCTTCAGATGGCATTGAAAAGCCACCCGGATAAGGGAGGCGATGCTGATGTTTTCCTTATGGTGAATGCAGCCTACCAGTGTTTGAACAGCCCTTCTGCCCGCAGGACTTATGATGAATCTATTCGTTGGTCTCGTCGTTGAGTGATTTGACGACCAAAACGACCAAAACGTGCGCCGCAGAGAGTGCCAGGTACCGGTACTGATGAAAGAGACAAGAGGATGAACAAAAGATAGTAATATTATAAAAGAGACGTCTCAACCTTCCTCTGATGTGCCTCAATTGCTTGTGGCCATCCTTGCACTGTACTGGTACTGGTGGTACTATTGCGTATACCTGTAGAGGTAATAGGTACAGGGTTGTATACAAGACAATGTCATGGAAACGGCGACGTCTAGTTGGCCATGGACGTTTGCCTCCGCCAAGATGACAAGCTCTGATCTGGATGATACTGGAACCGGTACAGTCCAGACAAACTGCTCGTTCTTGGTTCCTTGTTACTGTACGGCTAATCCAACCTGGCCATGCACATCTCACTCACTTCCGCAAATAACTTCCCTACTAGCTAGCTAGACCCCCTCTCTATTTCTCCTCTAAAGCTATACTGGAAGCTCTACTGGTATCATTCTCTTTGTTGATTGGGATCTCCAAAGAAAAAAGCGGACAATGGTGTGTGGTTGGTTAGGTTGAGCATGGAATCTTTCTCCTGAATCCAAAATGTGTTTTGGTTTACAATGCATTGCAATTATCAGATCCAGATAGACTAGTAGAGGCAGAAAAGAGACCCAATGCATTGACGCCAAAGGTCTCATCAAGCCTGAATTTAGCTCCCTGGGTTACTCGGCATTTTTTCTGTTTGGGTAAGTGTTTTGGCGATTAAGTGATCCTTATGTAAATGTCTTCACACAGTTAGTAGACATAAGTAGACAAAGTAGACATTGTGCGACTTTAGTAGACATTAGTAGACAAAGTGATACATTGGTAGACATTGGTAGACAAAGTGAGACATTGTGAGACATTGGTAGACAAAGTGAGACATTTTTGTACTGTTTTACTGTACTGTGTAGACATTGGTAGACATTGGTAGACATTAGTAGACATTGTGATACATTGGTAGACATTGTGAGACATCCGTAGACATTGTGAGACATCCGTAGACATTGTGAGACATAAGCCACTTTTACAAAGGAGCATAGAACATTTAGGCAACTCTGTAATCAGATACAATAGCCTTAAATAAACAAAATGCCGAGTAACCCTGGAAGACAGGTTTGGAAAGCTGGTAGGATGATGAAGTCGAATGGATTGAATGGAATGAAGAACGAATCAATCGAATGAAGGTTCATCAGAACACTTTTCTAAAAGACGCACCCGGAAGGCCTCTTCATATGTGTTTAAAATCACTAAGTACTTGAATTGGGCTCATAGCCCATCTAGACTCAACAAGAGAGGTAGGTTACAGAACCTCACAAGAGGTCTAGCACCTGCAGAACTAGACAGTAGTTTAATCGGCTATAGGCGAAGGTTGATTCATTACAATGTCCCAAATAGCAAAGTTTCGAGTTTCGATTTCGAGTTTCGATTTCGAGTTTGTACTTTGTTCATGTTCGAAATTTGTTTGTTTTGGGTTTTTTAGATTTGTGTCCCAAATAGTCCTTTTTTCTAGTTTCGAGTTTCATGTTTTGACTTTGACTGCCTCCAAGGCTGAACTGACTCAGCGCAACCACACAATAACAATGACAACAACAACAACAAGAGCGACAAGAAAGAAGAGCACAATCATCTCGGCCATGACCACCATGAGGAGACAAGAGCTAAGACGATAGGAATTGGAGGCTTGGGCGTATTTGGTAACTCTGTACGTTTACGCATACTACCGATCTGCTTGATTAGCTAATGACAACATAACGATGATACCTACTTGCTGATCAGTCGAACGAACGGAAAACGCCCTGCCGATCAAAGACCCTCCTGCTGCCGCTGCTTCCAGCCAATAGGATCCTTCTTAAAAAGGAGTAGCCGCTGCGGAGAGGAAACGCCATCTTGATAGAGCAAAGGAGGAGGTATCAAAATAATGAACTCAAGAGGAGGATAGGAGTGGCTTTCATGTTTATCAGTCGGTGGCCATCCCTCGTGCCTCGTTGGTCCTCTCTTAACCATGTGTGTCGTCAACTGTCGGTTGGTGGGAATGAATCAACAAAAGCCATATCCACAGCTGCAACACCATTTTTCCACATTCTGGGACAATTCCTATGGCTATTTGTCTCCAGAAGATGGAAAACTGAACTTGTTGCTAGTCTAATGGTTCTTGTCTAACAGAAGGTTAAGAGAGGGTAAACAGTCGGAACCTCTCCGACTCGACTCGGCTCTCTCCGTGTCGAGCAGCAGCACGCCTGGGGAACCCCCCGTCCGAGTTTCCACGCCCCGCAGCGTGGAAACTTGAACCCTGATGGGTTCTCGCAACTATGACCCTAATCATGGTTGCCGAGAGGACCATCTCACAATTTGCAAAAATTAATTCCCACGCTCCTCACCTACAACTCAAGTACATCTCTACACCTCGCAGGTCATCACCTGCGTTCCGGAAATGGATACCCCACATGATGATGCACCGCATCAGCTCCTCAATGCCTCTGGAACAAGATTACCCTTTTAAAAGGCAACGACGCCCGTCCAAGACCACATTTGGCAAGATCGACAGCGGCAACCATGAATCACTAAAGCCAGCGACCTAGCCAAGATCAGCTATTGAACTGCCGATCGCAAGAAGGTTGTCTCTCTCTCAGCTCACAATTCTTCATTCCACCGACGCTGAAAGCAAGAACCTAGATTTGATTAATCTCTTGTGCCGGCATCAGGTTTCGTATCTTTTCGACCCTCACCATGGCCAGCTCTAATTTTTCGGATCTTGTCTCTCGTGCAGCGGCATGGGAGGTACATGCTCCAAACTACACTGACATCCTCACTGCTGTGGGTGGCGCCTCGAATGCAAACCGTGATGTTGCCTCTCGCGCTATGAGCCAATTTTGCCTTCGTTCACCTGTCACTTTTGGCTTCGTCCTCCAAAACGATGAAACGAATATCTACATTGGACACTCACTCTACGCCTACCCCGTGAATCCGAGCCAGGCCTCTCCTTACGACAATCTCTACGCTATCGTGGTGGGGAACGATCTTCGAAGCGCTATCATGGTGGTCCTTCCCATGTCTGCCTTCGAGCGCACGGGTGACATAGCTTGCTACAACATGACAGTTATTGACGGAGGAACCATGTTTGCTGCCGTTCCGGCTCCTGTGCTACACAGTGGCCCCCACGGCGGTGGTGTCTCGGAAACTGATGTCTTCCGTGTCCGTCGCGTGATGCCTCTTCCGTCCTACCTTTCCGAAGCCATCCTTGCGGCCCATCCCGAAGGACAGTACAGTCTTCCCCAGTTCCGTGCGGAAGTTCTCACCCCCGAGATAACTCACGCGGATCCTGCGCGACAGGCTGCCATCGCCCCTTTGGTCCAATGGTTCCGCGCCTGTTGTACGTTGGTCGCGGGAGGTCATACGTCCACTAGTAATGACGCAGCCAACGTGGCCGCGCCCATTAGCGCTAACGCACTCCAACGAAGCACCAATCGGTTGCTCTCCCCCTACCTGGCGGCGCTTGGCGCGGTAGGTCCGGGCCTGCGCAACCTTCAATGCGGGAATCACGAACCTACGTGATACGCTGGAGGCCACTGTTGAACAACAACTCCAGTACGACCGTGAAAAGAGCAACAAAACCTTCACGGATAAATTCGGGGCTGCCCTAGCCACTCGCGTCCACAACCTTTGTAATGTGGCTGATGACGCAAACCTTCCCGTCATTCACCGTCTGCTCGCGAAGTCCCCCAAAGGGAATGAACACGGTATCTTGCAAGCCCAGCTAGACGAACGCACTCAGGCTTCGGCACTATCCATCAACCTCGCGAACAAACCCTTGGTCACTGGACACATTCTGGATCGTGTCTTCCGCAAGTACTTCGTGAACGGTCAAGGGACCACCTTGGGCGAGGGCCTCTCCCCCTTCTCGGTGGTATGCCAAGGCCATTCGGAAGCCAAGGCGGTCCAGGACTTGGCTGCTCGAGCGGAGTACGTTGAGAAGGGAGCCTCGGTCACCTTGGAAGATGCCATCGCCATCACTTCCACCGATGTCAAGTTTCCCACCGATGGTCGCATTGCGGAAGAAAAGCTCTATGGGTTCTCCATCATGATAGATGTCTTCCATGGGGGAAACCATCCAGTTTCGCGCTCGGTGCGTGATGTGGCCCTCTCGCTGGGATCCTACCTCCACACCATCCATGGCCTACACGCTGACAACCGGAGTGTGGCGGTGGACTTGTGCGGTCGCGTCCTTTTCGAGGTCCAACAAGATTACTTCTTGTGGGTCAACGAAGCTATCCTAAATCCGGGCACTGCTGCCCCCAACTTTGGAGCGCTCACTAACACTGACGATAGGTTACGTCAGTCTCTCACACACATTTATTTAAGCCTTTTCTACCAAAGCTACACAAAAACTAGTGCAATAGACAAACACGCAGGAGTAAGATTTGATGAACACAAACCATAGTACTACTATTTTACTATACGTCTGCACCATGGATTGTAAACATGTTACAATATTCCTGCCTTCTTATTAGGCCTGCAAAGACCAGGTGTGTGTCCAGAACTATTGAAAGGTACACTATTACTATATGTGTTTTTTCAATGCATGATTCAAAATTCAGGCTTATATCTTTGAGCGCTGCTTCACTAATGCCTGTAGAGGATAGCGAAATGTCCTATTCTTACTGGGTGGAAAAAGACATAAGCAAGAAAATTCGAATCCTGCATTAGCACGCATTTGCACCCTTAGAATATTTTACTATATATATTTCTGTATGTATCTACCAAGGTATGCAGTCACACTTCCTTCAAGATTCGTACTGTTTACTATATGAATTCTTTTTATGCAGGATTCATGTTCCGTTTGGCGATTCGATGCATGTTTCAAAGGTCGCTTTTACTTAAGCCTATAGAGCAAACGATTTTTACCGGTTAACAGGAGATTTAAGGTCGATAGTTCGAATCCTGCATATCAAGGTTTTTGCACCCCTCCCCTCTTTTACTATATATTATACTGTACGAATATTCCTACATGTGCAGTCACGCATTCTCATAAAGTGTCACCAGTCAAGCTAGGATATAAGTATTCGAGTCCTGCATATCAACGCTTTACACGCAGTCCTGCATAGAACCGTTTACTATACAAAGTACTGTACGTATCCACCAGGAAAAGGAATTCGGTACCGTTCAAGCAAACAACTGTGCGACTCTATAGTAAAATAGTAGGATTGTGCTTTGTCAACACGACATGGTGCTCTATCTCGCTAGCTACTAGCTAGTAGCTAGACTACTTTATTACGTTTTTTATGCAGGTTTCCACCGCTTTCTCTTTCTTTATCTCTAACCTTTTGCTTTCAATAAAATAAATTTATTACAAAATTCCATGATCGTCAGTGGCTCCCCCTAGGGTCGTTAGACTCGTTCAATCCTCCCGTGCCTCGTCTCTCATTGAGCTCCCTGCTCACTGGTACTCGTTCTTCAAGCCCGCTCCCGAGCTGCCTAGCAAGAAGCCTGCCGGAGCAAACCAACAGCGAGCGGGAGCGCACCCGGTTACCAACGTCCACGGCGATGAGGACCTCTTGAAGCGTTTCTAGGACTTAGGGTTCTGCTCCATCACTGAAATGACCAAAGA